GGAAAGCAGGGCTCCATCACGCGTAACGGTTACTTGGGAAGACAAACGCCATCACGTCGAACGTCCCCCCCTTCCTTCTTCTTCCCCCCGCTTCTCTACTGAGCATGACGTCATATGGTATGGAATAGCCCTTTGGCCAGTCTGGGTCAGCTGTCCTAGCTATGCTCCCTCCCAGCTTCTTATGCACCTGGCAGAGCACAAGAAGCTGAAAAGTCCTTGACCAGTGTAAACTCTGCTCAGCAAGAACCAAAACATCAGTGCGTTATCAACATTATTCTCATCCTAAATCCAAAACACAGCACTCTACCACCTACTAAGAAGAAAACTAACTCTATCCCAGCTGAAACCAGGACACTAAGCAAAGCCAAGGAGTTTCATTTTGCTTTTAAGTATCAGAAGAAGCCTGATAGTTAAATTGATGGACTGGGGAAGCATGTGGTCATGAAGAAACTGCATGTTCTTGAGAGACAAAGCACTTTAGAGCCAAAACACTAGGCTCTCCTAGGCATATTGAGTTGAGCTTGTGATCAATGAAGCTGGAAGTCTTTAGCATTGTACACCCTTGCATGGAAGAAAATGCCAGTGTCGTGTCCATTACGTCTTTCATACTAGGTTTTCCTTGACTTCTACAGCAAAAATTGCACCTCACAGTTACAGCTATGATTGTGTAGAGTCCTTCTGAGTAATGTTTGCCTTCTTTGTACTGTTGTGGTTACTGAGCATGCATAATAAGCAGCGTTTGAGAGGTCAGCGTTTGTTTTTGTTTGCTGATTCCTGTGTTTGAACCTGTCAGATATAGCTATTCGGTGGGGTAGGCGCTACTGTCTTGAAGTGGTTGTGTAGCACCTACTATGGTGAGTCAAGGACTGGAGTGTCTTTTTTCCTAATGCCAGAGACTGTCTTCTCTGGTGCTATATTCATGTGGACAGAAAGGGGAGAGTGTCCCACACGTGGTGGGTTTAGGAAAGCATTCCAGTGGATGCTGCTTGTATTGCCATTTGTAAACGTCAAATCCCAATCCCGCCCAAACTGAGAGGAGAGAGAAACAACTCTTAGGGAGTACACCTGGGAGTGAAGTGCCCAATTGTTGTTCTCCAGAAACTGCTATATGTTTAGGGTGTTTGCATTTTTTTTTTTTTTTCCCCCCTGAATGTAAAAACCCCTCTATTAGAAATGCCAGCAGGGGACTTCACTGCTTGATGAAACAAGACCTGTTTTTTTTTTTAAGTGGGGAGGAAGGTTTATAATCTAGACTCCTGGGAGCAACAGAGGAAGTCTCCAGTCTTCTCCCAAGCATTCCCTGCAGAGACCTCTTTGTAAGCGATACAGAACAAAATGTGAAAACGTGATACGCTGTTTCTTTCCTTTATGCATCTTCCTGAGGGTATTTGCATGAAAATGAAGCTTCTGTCTGTTCAGTGTCCCTGGTTCTTACAGTCTGTTCATAGCGTGAAGTCATAGCCAGCTGTATAGAAGATCAAAGTCATCTTCTGTGTGTAATCCAAAATGGTATTACTTGTGTAGCTTTTGAGCAAAGTGACCCATCTTATGAAGGTGTTTGGAAAAAAACTAAAAAGGCAATTTTCTACGTAGTCATGACTACAGAAGGTTGATAAGGTACCACAGTGTGGGATTTCTCTTAGAAAGGCTCTTACTGGATCTGTAAAGTATCACCTCTGACCAGGGATTTGGCTTTTATGACCAGGGGATCCTCTTGGAGGTTTAAGGACTGCTGGTGAAAGATGGGATCCACTTGACTAAGTGGGATTAGAGCATCTTTACCAACAGGTGGGCCAACCTGGAAACAAAAGTGTTGAATTAGAAAGGATGGGGGAAGGAGATTACAACCACTGTTAAGTGAGGAAGCACTGGAAGGGGTTGAAAAGCAGAAGGTAAATATTCTGGTCATTTGTTTTTTTTTTTTTTTCTGTGCAGTTTGTCTTGGCAATTAAAGTAAGATGGGTGGGGTAAGGAATTGTTACAAAGTTTCCTGAAAGCTTTTGAAAAGGGTGCTTAGGTTTTAAGTTTGTGTCCGGAAAACAGAATGCTTATTGCATT